GAAATTTTTTATCGCAACCCTTGCGAATTTATCCCCGTGGCTACGAATCCATTTAAAGATTGATGATCATCTTTTTTATATGAATTTAATATGTGACAATCATTTTAAAAATCAACCAATCAGGTTTAAACCCGCTAAGAAAAGTCAATTTGATTCTCATACATGAATAAAATAGATATCGAAAGTGACTTTTTTGAGCTTTCAAATATTTATCACCTTTTCTTACCCTAAAAAAATATTAAATCATATAATTACAGTTTGAAGGTTATGAAACTACTTTGGATCCTGATAATCTCAGCCTTCTTTCCATCTTAAAATTTTATAAAACAAAAAAGGATTTCTCTGATAAGTATTGTGAGCACTTTATGATATCTAAGTTCGTGCCGTATGTCGCAAAAATCACAACAGACAAAAAGTGAAAAAAAGCCACTTCTGATCTCAGTGACAGAACGCTAAAGGCAAGTTTATCTATTATATTTAAGCTTTTATTAGTATATAAAGATAGGGAAGGAGTTAGGCTACGTGTCACAACTACTTAAGTAGCCTGGCTACGTGTCAGGCTAGGAATGGGTTAATATATCTAGTGGGCTCTATCTTAAGTCTGTGTAAAAGCTAAAGGCTTATATATCTTAGCGTCAAGAGCTATGTATTTATTTGCAGTCTCTAATAGCCCACTTTTGTCACCTTCATATTTTAACATAATAATTTTTAACTATTCCTCTCATTCTTCTTAGCTTCAAACATAAAGTAAAGAAGTAAAATCGTTTTAGATAAGTATTGAAACAGAAAAAATTGAAAAAGAGAATAAATTATTGGAGCTGAAAATAAAGCAAGCTGAAGTATGTGTCTAGCATTGATATTGTGATTGGTGTATATTAAGAAATTAAGTATCAATTTGTGCAAATGCAATAATAACTGTGTTTTTTATGATTTGCAGATTCAATTTTTTGTTGATCTAACTTTGATGGTGAATAAGGCTCATAGAATATTCAACCAGAAAAAAATAGATTATGCCTTGAACTCAAATGAGAATAGTATCAGAAAGTACTTAGCAGATGATGAAGGTATGAAAGATGCATATTCATATAAATATCAACGTGAAGAAGATGATGAACCACCACGAATCCTAGAAGACTAGGTAGTTGTATTTTTCTATATTAGTCTGCAATAAAAGTTCACTCTCACTTCTCGCATGTACACAGATTACATTTGAAGAAGAAGAGTCCTTTACCTCAGCCATATCCTACATCCCAGCCAATCCAGTAGAGTTTTTTACTTCAAAAGATCTGGTAATCTATACAAAAAACAAAGACGTATTTAATATGATATTATGTAAAATATATTTAAAGATACGATAGGATATCTGCAATTGTTTTTCACAGAAAGATGTAAGTTAATTATTCTGATTCTATATTTGTTTTGGAATAATACTGACTATTGTATCTATTTCACTGTTTTAGTAGAATATTGAAGATTACAACATCTCAAGATCTTTTTGCAATTATAGATTGCAAATATAGACAAATTAGAAAATGATGCGATTTTTTGCTTCTTATCGGATATTGAAGAAATCTTGTAAATTAGCTCGAATCTGAAAGTTACTTAAAGACGTGATTATCTAATGAAACTTGTATATTGCAGATCTCTTCACTATATCATATTGATTGATTTAACTAGAATGAAAAGGCCGATATACCAGGGGGAGGAGGGGAGGACAAAAATATTATACAGCTTAAAAATAAAAATTTAAATAAATTTTTTATAAGT